TTTTTTTTTTTTTTTTGAGACAGTCTCACTCTGTTGCCCCACCTAGAGTCCCATGGCTTCAGCCTACCTTACAAAGCAACCTCAAACTCCTGGGTTCAAGTTCTCTTCTTGCCTCAGCCCCCTGAGTAGCTGGGACTATAGGTGCTCTCCACGATACTCAGCTAATTTTTCTATTTTTAGTAGAGATGGGTGTCTTGCTTTTGTTCACAGTGGTCTCGAATTCCTGAGTTCAAACAGTTTTCCACCTCAGCCTCCCAGAGTGCGAGGATTACAGGTGTAAGCCATCACACCTGGCCTTTCAGCATTTGATAGTAGAGGGATTATGTACCTACCCCTCTATCTCTAATAATGCTTTTTGCTTTGAAGTCTTTGTTGTCTGTTACTCATTAATTCAGTTCCCCTGCATTATTTGGTTAGTATTTACTTGGTCTGTTTCCCAATGCTTTAATTTCAACCTTTTTACATCCTTTGTTTTCTTTGTATGTGTCTATTATATCTAGGATATAGCTGAATTTTTTAAATATCTAGTTTGAAAAAAAGTTTTTTTTTTTTTTGAGACAGAGTTTCACTCTGTCACCCTTGGTAGAGTGCCATGGCATCATAGTTCACAGCAATCTCAAACTCTTGGGCTCAAGGATCCCCTTGCCTCAGCCTCTTGCCTTGCTGTAGCTGGGACTACAGGCACCAACTGCAGTGCCCAGCTATTTTTTATTTTTAGAGATGGGATCTTTCTCTAGCTCAGGCAATCCACCTGCCTCGGCTTTCCAGAGTGCTAGGATTGCAGGCATGAGCCACCTCGCCCAGCCCTTGTTTTGTCTTTTAACTGGTACATTTATTCATTCTCATTCATTGTATTTCCTAATATGCATAGATTAATTCCAACCATATTATTTTATCATTTCTAATTATCCACCTTTTCCATTTTTTCTTCCCTTTATTGCTTTCTTTTGGATTGTTTTGGGCTTTTGTTTTTTGTCTCAAAAATCACCCCTAAAGTCACCATACCTAGGGAAAATGGGAAATCGTAGCTAAATGTCCCTTTGTTTACCAAGTATTCATTACAAAACTTTACAAAGAAGTGGCCAACACATAGAGAATATTTTGTAAGTATTTTGTAAAATAGGTACAATTTCCTATTTTCCCTGTGTATGGTGACTTTACTGGGACCCTTTGGGACAAAGGAAGTGTATTTTATTTCTTATAGTAATTACCATTTGAAATGTAATATACCCCCAGAAAAGTACAGTTCATAAGGAATACAGCTCGGTGAACTTAGACACAGTAAACACCGCCCTGTAACCCACAAACAGCACCCAGAAGCCCCTGTCGTGCTCCTGTGTCATTAACATACACCCCAACTCCTACGTTAACCACCGTCGTGACCTCTGCCACCATAGACTACTTTTGCTTGTCTTTGGACTTCAAAAAAATAAGTTCATACGATATGTACTCCTTGTGTCTGACTCTCAAGAAACTTTAAAGTGCAGTTTGAACTTACAGTGGTTTAAAATTAATCAGTCTCTTTACTTCTTTCACTTTACCTTCCTCTGTAACTCACCATAACTCCAGTTACAACCCTCTTGACTGGTATGTTATTATTGTCATATATTTCAGTTCTCTGAGTTTAGTTGTCATGTATTTTAGTTCTCACTTTAAAAAAACCTATAAGACATTGCTGTAATGGTTTCAGGGAATGCTTCACTCTACCATTTAATTCATTTATTTGCCAGTGATTTAACAAATATTAATGTAGGTAAAGCACCCCTCTATGTGCCAGGTGTGGTTTTAGCTACTTGGTGTATATAGGCCTCCTTAAAAAGATGAAGTTTGAACAAAGACTTTAAGATGGTAAGAGAGCCATGTGGGATGTCCAGGGCAAGAACATTCCTGGCGGAGTACAGCCGGTGAGAAGGGGAAGTGCATGGGATTTTACAGACTCGCAAGGAGGCCGGTGTGGCTGGAGTCCAGTAAATAAGGGAGAGAGAAGTGGGGAATGAGGTCAGAAGCATAAATGGGGGACTGATCACACGGGGCCTTATAGACCATTGTAAGACTTTGCCTTTTATTTTGAATGAAGTGGGGATCCACATTGTAGAGTTGAGCAGGGCATTTAAAGGGTTATTCTAATTGTTCTGCTGAAACAAGACTCTGGGAGGCAGAGGAAGGGTAGAGCGGGAAGACCACTTAATAAGTCTTTGCAGCCATTTAGGTGAGAGTTGATTGTAGCCTATAAAGGCGGTTGGAACTGGTCAAATTCAGTCTATTATGAAAGTAAAGCTAACAGAATTCTCTGACGTGGCATGTGAAAGAGAGTAGAATTAAGGTATCTCTGAGATGTTCAACCTGAGCAACTTCAAGAAAGGGTGGAGTTGCCATATGTGTGGGGAAGATCAGGAGTTCAGTTCTGGATGTGGTAGATTTGACTTATCTAATACATGTCGTAGTGGAGAAGTAGAGTGGGCCAGTTAGATATACGAATCCACAGTTTGGGGCAAAGGTCTAATACCTTTGTCCTAGTGCCCTACAACCATATTTTATTTTATTTTATTTATTTATTTGAGACAGAGCCTCAAGCTGTCCCCCTGGGTAGAGTGCTGTGGCATCACAGCTCACAGCAACCTCCAACTCCTGGGCTCAAGCAATTCTCCTGCCTCA